ACATCAGATATGGTCGCTCATTGACGAGCTCCTGATGTAGGCCCCGTATGGAAGGGAATTCGCCAGCCAGCTGCCCCGACTCGCGTTCCGATCTCTCACACGATGTTCGCTCAAAGATGGACGATACAATCTTACTGCGGTGGATGTGAGCCGACCAACCCAGCTCTGGCGTCACGTCATGTCGTTCGCAGTTGCGATTTCCGCTGCAGCCGCGTCACTGCGCTCCGTGGCAGTGACTTTCACAACAACAGTACGCATCCAAGTGGCATCGAGCAATCCATTACACTTCGTGCCATACAGAAAAGTGGAAGAAGAGCGAACAACGGAGTTTCGAACGGACGGGGCTAGTTGGATCTGCGACGGATACAGGCTCCCGACCCAAAACCATGGAATTATTAGAAGACAACCATGAGTCCCATGGCCGAAACACGCGCGCGAAAGGCCAGACAAGCTGCAATGCCGTGGTGACTGCCCTGTGAAAGCGCTCACATTCATAATGTATGGCTTCAGTCTGGCCTGTTGCACTGCTTTAGTTGATGTGCAGACGTGGCCTTGTTGAAGACTCGTACATGACTTTGATTCACATTCTATCAATGCGCCCTTTTCAGCCTCCACCAACCAAGAACCCGACTCCATTTCGTGCGGTGGTGATTTTTGCCCACCAGCCGAGAGGTTGTGTGGAAGTCCTCAAGGCTAGCGTTATCCAGCCGCATCATGTGCTCCACGACTCGATTGGCGAACGCGGCCGATTGCTGTTGATACTGTTGCGAAGAAGCACTGTACGATGTGAACGTCGGTGATGCCGGACTATGTATCAGATGGGTGGATGCAACATGCAGGCGGCCAGATTCCTGAAGGCGAAGAGGAGGAGGAGGAGGGAAGCGCAACGGTGCTATGGTCGAGCTTCTGGCGAATGGCATGTTGCTCGGATACACGACTTCGAAGTTTCGCTTCTTCCTGAGGAGGCGAGTAGGAGGGGCAATTCTTGATCGCGGCATCGGTAGAATGTCGACGTCCTCGCCGATGTGTGAAGGGAAGACAGAGGGGCGTCTATGCCCGTCATTTTATAGAATTTCAAATGTGGCAGCGATCGGTCAGTGGCGAGGGGGGGAACGGAGAAGGAGGAAGGAGCAATGTTTTGAGAAGAGTGGCCACTAGGAGGTCCAGGTCACTTTTTCCCCACCCGGGAGTAGGAACTTGGAAGGACGTTTGTCGATTCCACATGTGTTCTCCAGTGGGATATTTCAACGGTGTCCATGGATGTAATAATTGCGCCTCTGTGTCCAAAAGAACTCAGGGGTCTCTTCCTCATATTGATCATATACAGGGGTAAACAAATCCCTATTTCAGGCCAGCTCCCGTGGGCACAGCGCTCCTCATACTACATATGGAGAAAGGTGAGTGAGTCATAGGTAATGGGATGTATTGCGGGCGCGCGCCCAGGGGTTTCTCTTGAGACGGGCTCCGAGCCCTGCCCAAGGACAGGTCTGTGCACTATCAAAGCAGGGAATAACCTTGAGCGACGATGCCATACCGCTACACCTGTACACTCTCGCCCAAATTGTGAGACACCAGACGCAGCCCCTGTAGAAGTAGTCTAAGCTGTGACCATTTATCTTCATCGACGTCTCCCGTGCGAGTGGCAACTTGTATTTCAACCCCAGGCCTTGTCCGCCAAAGGTAGAGTGCAGCCTGGATCGGCTCTTGAAGTCTACCACCGCGCAGCTCGATCAGAAGCGGTGCGCCCGAGCTTTCTGTCCGGAACGGCATCCCTGGAAGAGGAGTCGATGCGTCCACGTAATCCAAGTCGATTGAGTCAAGGTAAGGGCACCTAGAAATAAGCTCAAGTAATCCTCGCAGAGAACACGAATACGCAATAGCCGCGGACTCGTTTCGAGAGCTATAAATGTCGCTTCGAAGGTGGAGCTTTCGTAACGATGGCCATGCCTTCGCCATTGCCCTGATGTCATTTTTACGGTAGATGACAGTCCCGGGTCCAACAGAGAGGAGGGTGAACGACTCGAGACTTCGACAACCCAGTATACCGCTGAACAGTTCCCAATACAGACGAGTATTGGAGTCGAGGTGTATTGCGAGGCCAACTTTCCTCAACGCCGGGAAGAAGTCAGGAATGCTTCTGACGAAATCAGCATGTTGAGAACGTTCCCCAATCAAGTGATAAACTAGGTTTAGAGTTCGTAGGCGTCTCGGAAGAGCCCGAAAGAGTACCTGGCCATCCACCAATAGACAATGGTAAGTGAGATGCATCTCTTCCATGGCGGGACAGATTTCTGATGCGCCAACCACCCGTTCTCCTAGCAGCGGGATCTGTCCTGTAAGACGAATGTTTGCCCGGGCTAGGTGCTTGTGGGGACCCAGGGCTTGAAAACATGCTGCGGAGTTGATTCCATATAGCTTGATTGCCTCAAGATGCGGAAGCAGAAGAATCAGTCTCGATATCGTCCCAGTAGGTAGTCCATTCGCCGGATCGATGCGGAGTTCTCGAAGAAACGGCGTGATGGAAGGCAGAGTGTCGAGCATAGCAACGGTGGTGTCCATGTCAGGAATGTTTTCAAAAGCCGTGGGAAGGTCTACAGAAAGGTTACGCCTCACGAGGGCATCCTTTAAGTACAATTCCAGGGTTTGAAGGCCACGATGCGCCAGGTGTAAAACGAGATGAGAATGGCTGTGTCCGTTATCTTTCAAGGAAAGCCGCACGACGTTCGGAAAGACATGCTGGCCCAGCTTGTGAGTCAAGCTCCCGAGGGCGGTGATGCAGTTGATTGCTGCTTCCTTCGCGTGACGACGTCTTCTCATCGAAGGAGCACGTATGGGTGCACCAACACCCCTGGGAAAGGTCACATCCACGTCCAGTTCTCGTACAAAAGAGGCGTAACCGTGAAACTTGTTGAGCAGAAGCTCTATTTCTGAGTCGGTCAGAAGCAATTGGTGCGCTGGGTCCATTCGGTCGCCAAAGACCAGCAGGGCGAGATGTACAACGCCCTTCTCGTTGATACACCTCCAGCGAAGTGGGACTGCTGAGGAGTAGAAAGCGCTGCTCGTGGAGCAGATGGGTGCCAACTCGTCCTGGGACAGAAAGCGGAAGATGGCGTCAAGGATGTCCCGCATTTCAAGTGCTCGGTGCATTGCGGAAGGTTGGGATGTTTGGTGCGTAGCCGGCATACGTGTTGTAGGGGGCCGGTGGATGTTCGGGGTCAAGTGCCGCGGGGTAGGTACAGACATGGTCGGTATTTAAGTGCGTGACTCCAACGACCTGCACGAGGCAACGGGTACAAGCGCATGTGTGTGCCGTCTCAGGGCCAGGCGATGATGATGTCGTAAGTGCGGAATAAGGCCCGTTCCCCTGGTCCACGAGGACGCGGTTTCCGTGAATCAGCTCATACGTCGTCTAGCGCTGCGGAGATCTCCCCACGAGGCGTACGTCATGGTCCTGCAATAGCGATACCTGCGCGACAAGACGCTTCCATGTCGTCCTGCTCACACAGCAGCCGAAAGGTCGCACACTTCAAGAGGGGAAATATCATACATTCAGAACACAGATCCGGGTCATCCTCACACCGACTCATGACAATACGGGAAAGCGTAACAGGGCAATAGGAGTAGAGACAGTCTGTTGGCTGGGCGATGTCTACGGCGAGCGCGCGCAAAGGGCAACGCGGGGTACGCGGAAAACGCTTATTTGTGGAAGGATTTGACAATCGGGACAATGATGATGACGAGGAGGACGGCAATACCGACGCCGATGAGGATGCGCATCTATGTGGGTGATCAGCACTGTGTGCATAGAGGCGCCCTCCCATGTTCCGCCGTGGCTGGAAAAACGCGATTGGACGCATATATGCAGACACTCACCTTCATGTCCTTCCACCACATGTTCTTCCGGACACGGTTCGCGCCGCGCCTGAACCCTTGGGCGGACATGGCGAGGTTGTCTGCCGTCACACGTCAGCTCGAACTCAACCCGTTCAAGTGAGACAGCATAAACGCACCAGTCTTGTCGCGAAGCACGTCGATCCTCTCCCCCCGCTCGGCAACCTTGGTGATGTTCTCGCGCATGATGCCGACGGTATCGTCGATCTGCTGCTGGATGGCAGCAGTCTTGCTGTTGCCCGCGGCGGGGCCGGGTGCGGCAGGTGGTGCACCGGATGAGGAGCCGCCGCGGGGGACGTAGGGGTCGTATGGCTCACTGGACATGTTTGATTCTACGGGAAAGATGGCGCGTCAGAGCGTGTCCTGCACGGATGACTTCAAATGGACGTGCGAAGTTGGTGGTAAGAGTGGAAGAGGGGAGATTTGCTCACTTGGAGGGTTTGGTTGGTTTTCGCTGCTGCGGTTACAAGGAGAGATGCTGTGGAGACGGTGCGACGATGGGCAGAGGCAGTGAGCCTTCTGGGCAGCGGGAGCGGACGGCGCCCTTTGACACGACTGATGACGACCCCCGCGCCCCTCGGCGCCACCCGGACGGACTTACACGGGATCAAATCCATGCACAGCCTCTGATGATATGGTAAGGCACGGCGGGCGGGTCATCTCCGGAGTCCAACAGCTTACGTCTTGGAGTTCTCGTGGATGAGGGCAAATGACGGTTAACACCGGCTGGTTTCTCCGTTCTTCACGCCAGGCAATGCCCGTCTGCACATCTGAGCAGAACACCGCTCCTCCGCGCTACTCTCATTCAATCATTTCTCACCTGGCGAACCTGGTGGGCCATTGCCAAGATTTTCACCAAAACTGCGCCCTGCGCCGAGTTGTTCCATGATTGTGAAGCACACAGGTTACACCAACAATCAAATCTGTTAGCAAGCAGTCATGATTCATTATGCTTTGCGAGGCCATGCATCCCCCATGACTCGAAACCAGTCTCGTCAATTCGGGCGACTGGCTTGCATGTCGACCAGACCAATGCTCCTTCATTGTTTGCAGGCCCCTACTCCACTGACTGAACATGGACGAAGCAACTGGAGTTGGCAATCCCCGGAGGGCATGTAGCTCAGCGGTAGAGCGCTCGCTTAGCACCCTATATTTGAACAAGCTGCGAGAGGTCTTGGTTTCAATTACCAACCTGTCCAAGGATTCTCGTTTTGTCCCCATGTGCTAGTTGGAGGGTTTGACGATGAGGTTCTCGTCCAAAAGGTGAAGAAAGGCCAAAGGCCAATGCGCACAGCCTTATTAGTTCGCAGCTTGCGAAGTGGTTGCTGGGACGGCAGCTTAGGCCCGTTGTCGGGTTGCTTGGGCACAATCCCATGCTTGCAGGTGCGGTATAATGAAGCATGGCACTGCTCTGCTGCTTTAACTTGAGTGAACCACAAGTTCTTGTCGTACATAGAACATATGCCACGTTTGGTTTCTCCAGTTCAGTATATGATTGACAGGAACACACTGCCAAGTCATCACAGGGTCATTGCAAATCTGGCCGATTCTGAGATGATACGGGAGTCATGCTCCTTGGCAGCAAGTTACCAGTCCAAATCAGCAGAGGCAAACCCAAGCCAGATCATGACATCTGAGTTCCTGCTGCTGACAGCAACCAAACACCAGCATGAGCAGGGCAGTGCTTTCATCAACTGCACTTCAGCCCACATTAGCATGTCATTGGTAGTCACATCAGTGGCCCCATCTGCTTCCGCGACGCGTGCCCTGGCTGTGGCCTTGCTGCATCCCTTTGCTTGTCTCCCACCACCACAACACAAGGAGAAGACACCCTCCTTGACGTGTCTTATCCCTCCTTGTATAAGTTTGCTGCTATCTACCCGCAGCAGTTGGACGCCGCACAGAGCAGTTGTCATACAGTGCTCTCCTCTTGTCGAACGCGTCACGACACGCTCACCAGCGGTGCCATTGTCCTTGCATAGTGGGCAGATCCAGGCTCCCATACAGGGACTGGCAAGAGGCCAGAACATCATCACGCAATGGCGTTCCCCACTCTGGCGGGTCCGCAGGCAGGAGTGCATGCACCCAAAGCTGGAAAGGGTGCTAGGAAAGGGAATGGGATCATAGTGAAGGGTGCGCCCTCTAACACCGCACTTATGATGGTTGCATAAACTGATGCGTACCTCAGGAATTGGGTCTCTAACGTCGCACCAATTGAATGGAATTACGAGCAAGTCCAGTACGTCTGATATCCTGTACCCTCTGAACGTCTCTGACATTACCCCAGCTCCTGTGGGCGGCCGCCCCACCAGTTCACAACCCTCCTCCTCTTCCCCGACCGTCTCCCCCACCTCCTCCCTCGGTAAACGAACGCTCACGGAGTATACCTCCTCCCAACCCACCGCGTCTCAGCCTCCCCCCGCCCGGCGCCCACGCCGAAGCTCAATCTCCGACTCCGAGGTCGAGCGCGAGCTGCCTTTGGTGGACGAATCGCCCCCGAGCGGCGCTGTGCCTCTGGCTGGGAGCTCGAGAAGCGGGGGAAGAGTTGTGGCTGAGGAGAAGCAAGGGACAAGTGTCGGGAAGGGGATCACGATCCTGAAGGGCGAAACGCAGGAGCAGGACGTGTGGGTGATCGACTCGGACTCGGAGGCCGGGGAGGATGCTCCCGCGGCCTATAAGACTGCACCTGCTGTCAACGGCGTGCCCATTGTGGTCTCCGACGACGACAGTCTACCGGATGACCCGCTGGACGACTACACACCTCGTGCCACGGTCCGAATACGCAAGACGACGGGCGCTGCTCGTAAATTCCCGGGGTCCAAGCCCAAGCCGGTGGCCAAGCGCTCCCCTGCACCTGACGTGGATATGCTCAGCGGCGATAGCGACATCGTCTTCCTAGATGATGATGAGGCTCTCCCTACTCCTTCACCCGTCAAGACTCTACCTCGCCATTTCGAAACCCCGGAAGCCGAACCAACGCCGCCTCGTTCATCGCTACGACCGAGTCTGAGTAACGCAGGGACGCCTCGCCCCTGTACGAATGGTCAAGCCGTCAAGGCGGATGATCTCCCTCCGAAGCGCAGACGCATTCCGATCATTTGGATGGAACCAGAAGACGAGACTGTACCTTCGGCCACTCAGTCCGCGTATGGTGTTCGAGGCGGTTCGAACAAGTCTGGTGCGCATTCCGTGCGTGAGGCTGCCGTACCCGTCGAGATCGGACTTTACGTCCCGTCTAATCGCCCCCGCTCCACGCCCGTGCCACCTACATCGGACGCTCCGCGTTCCTCCCTCCACTCTACACCTGTTACCATCACGCAATATACTTCTCCCAACAAGAAGCCAAATAGCCTCCTTACGCAAATTGCTACTCTTCTCCCATCCCGTGCCGTGGCTGGCCCCTCCACGCCGCAACCTAGACTCTCCCAGGGCAGACAGAAGACTAGCACTACTGGGCTCAAAGCATCCACAACCATCTCAAGATCCAAATCAGATCCTTCCCCCGCCCCTCCTGTATATAAGAAGACCTCGCGTCCAACTGGAGAGCGGGCTGTTATGCAGGCGGCTTGGGATGCAGAGTTGCAGAAGACGCGTGCTGCTAAGGTTTTCATTGTTGGTAAATTTTACAGCGACCGCAGTTCCGTCCCGGATGTACCTCGTGGATTTACCTACTTGGAATCAGAATACTTCTAGTATGTACTTTCTCTCACCCCTTCCTAGTGTATGACTGACCTTTCACAAAGTGCGATGCAGACTATAGATCAAAATCCACATACTCGGTTTCTACCAAGGTCGTTTGAACATGTTTGCTGGCAGGACAATGAACATTGTACCATTCGTCCTCCAAGACGTGACGGATGGCATGAATGTCATAAACAGCAGAAGAACTATAAAGGGCAGTTTGCATACGATGAACAGGCGAGCTACACGGAATCCCAAACGTAACGGATATTAACCGCGTGTTAGGGCTTATTCACGTTCCAGTTCCCTGAACATGTTGTCATCCAGGAGTGCAATAGAGTGAGCTACGTCTGATTTCGACTTCAGAACGTGCCTTCTGACCTCATCTCAGTATTGCTTATGTGACAAGGAACAGTGTCAATTCTCTGTCGCCCAGCGGACGCGGAAACATGAGCTGGAAGTGTTCGAGACAGAGAGCTGCGGCTGGGGCGTGCGGACCGCGCAAGACCTGAAGCGGGGCGAGGTTCTGGGAATGTACATGGGTGAATTCATGTACGTCAGTCCAGCTTTAAGATCCTTCATCCTCTAACTTCCATGCAGCACGCGAGAAGAAGCTGGAAAACGTCAAGGCAATTACGTCTTTGACCTGGATGCTGAAGAGAGGCGTGAGGACCTGTCTCTTGCTGGGAAGTTCTCCGTTGATGCCGAAAACTGTGGAAATTGGACGAGGTTCATCAAGTAAGCTGCGGTGTTTTCTTCTGAGGTGCTCTAGACTAATGTTGGTGCAGTAACTCTTGCGATCCAAATCTGATTGTCCGCACGGTCAACTTCGATGCACCAGCAAAGCAACACCCAGGCCGGCTTATTTTCATCTGCAACAGGGACATTGAGGCTGAGGAGGAGCTCAGTTTCACATATACCCCGACTCATGCGGTTTCAGCTGAAGATATCGAGATGAAGCCCAGGTGTCGGTGCGGTGCAGACAACTGCAGAGGTTGGTATTGAAAGTGTAGCACACTGGTCATCACGGTTTCTCAGCGCCATCTGGCAGCTAGCATATTGTATTCCTAGTCAAGTTCCCGCATGATTTACCCCTTAGGATACACCAATGATCATTGGTTTGCTCCCATCTATATACAAGTGAGGAGCCTATCTTCTATCTCAGCTCAAGAACTTTCTCCTCAATGAACCCTTCAGCTCTGTCTCTAAAATAGCCTTTTTGATTTGAAACCAGTCTAACACCCTTGATGGTAAAGTCGCAAGAGTAGTGAGTGTGTCCAAAGGCCCAAAGAACCAGAGGAGCGCCCCACCAAGCCTTGTTCGTAAGCTCGGTGCTGAAGGCGGAACCTGCCATGCTGCCTTCGTACCGTGGACTAGAAGTGCCGTCAAATGTCGGGGTATGATGTGTGAAGACAACGAGATGGCGCAGCGGCTCTTTACTGCGAATGTCTTGAATAGTCTTGACGAGCCAATCCAGGTCCCTTCGATGCTCCTTTGCATATGCTGCCGTGCCGAAATCCGAGATTTGACGGAAGTCACTGAGACCCATGTATATGTGTGAAACATACTTTGGGTCCAGCGCGGACCAGAGGGTGCAACCGAGGATCGTCAATGTCGGCGACATGTCGTATCGTGTGCGGTTCAGGTATATGAAGCGATCGTTGCGATCGGCGTATCTTTGAAGTCGACGGCGAGAGTCTGCCTTAAAAATATCCGGGTTAGCGGGCGCATCGTATCAAGAGAAGAGCCTAACTAGGTTTGAACGGTATGCCTCGTGGTTACCAGCCAAGAAGAATACCCTCTCGAACTGCTTCAGCTGGACATCCAACCATTTGAAGAGGGCATCGTCCACCGTGTTGCCGATGTCTCCCAGCAGAGCAAGGTTCTCAGCAGCGACAGGAAAGTCGAATTCGTATTGTGACGTCTCGAGGTGAACATCGCTCATCAACTGGATGTGGATCACTGCGTCGATTTCTCCAGAGGGAGGAGCCTGTGTTTTCAGCCTGCGAGATAGTCGGTTGCCCATTTGATGAAGGGGTGAAGCGCAGCTGAGGACCACATGCTTAGAAGCAATGCTGTGCACGGAATATCTAAAGAAGCGACAGGACTTTCGGCTACAGAGAGCACGTTCTGATGATGAGTCACACTTCTATCACCTTGGTCGGGTCGAACCCCCTCTGTCCGTCCGACGGGTATCCTCGCTGATTCGAGACCGCCCTAACGCCTTTCCTCTCAAAGTCGCACGTCCAGTGCGTATGGCCAAAACACCACGTCTTCAGCGGAGCACCCCACCACTCATTCTCCGTCAACTCGGTGGAAAAGGCGCTTCCTGCGAATCCGCCCTTGAACTTCGGATCTTGAGTGTCCTCGAAGGTAGGAGCGTGGTGTGTGAAGACGACGATCTGCCGGTGGAGCTCTTCAGTTCGGATGGCGGCGATGGCGCCTTCCAGCCATGTCAAGTCGGCCTTATGTACCTCGTCGTACGCAGCCACATCGAAGTTCTCTGTGAACTTGAAGT